ACGATGCTACGCACAAAACAATCTTGCGTCGGGTCCGAAGATAAGTGCAAATGGTCTTATACAAAAAGGTCTTTCCAGTTCCGCCAGGGCCCTGAACAAAGTAGCAACCAAATCGCGGCGTGGCAAGGACAGACTGAGTAACAGCATGAAAAACTTCCAGTTGGGCCTCGTTCAGCTTGTCATACGCATCGGTATGATCAAGATCCTGCTCTACGGCGTCGTAATTGAGCTGCTCGGCAACTAATGGATTAACGGCCTCCTGCACCCAATATCCCTGTGGCATGGGCATGTTGAAATCGGAAAGGTTCTTTCCAAACGACTCGAGCATGGCCTGGTCGATTAGCCACAGGCACAGATCCTTTACGGGATCAGCAATGCCAGGGGGCGACACCATTTGTTCTAAGCGGAGGGGCAGGTCGTCAGATAGATGTTGGAAGAACTCGTCCCATAACGCCATAGGATTGCCTACATTCCCAAAGACCAGGGCCTGGAGGAAGACGCGACGTAACTCAGGAGCGAGTGCCGAATGCTGAAGCTCAAGAAATATATACCGCCATGATCCGTCCTCAACTAAGAGATTAAGAGCCGAACAGGCGTCCTTAAAAGTAGGTTGGATCTGACCGTTAACCGTGCGGAGATGTTCAAAACTGATTGCGCCTGGGATTCGCGTGAGAAGCATCCTAAGATGGAAACGCTCCCCAGAGGAAGGACTGCAGAAGTAGACGCGACCAATAGAGTACTGATCACGTTGGAACCGAGTCCATTTACCACCGTCTTTCCCTGGATTCCAACGATACCGGGTCGGGAAGTCCTGGTAAAGAAGATCACGCCCATCCACGTGGAGGGCATTATACTCTAACCATCCCATTAATGACGATCTTTTCTGTTCGACTGCAATCTCCACCTGTTCGGCACCGTCCTCGTCATGAAAGGTGACCATATGCTGTCCTGGTAAATGCACTGCTAATCGAATAACAGAAGGCTTCTCCTCGTGAACCTTAAACTCCATTAATCGCCAAACAGCCTCAGTCGGTCCAATATAGCGCATGTTCAGATACTGGGCGACCTCGTCCCCTTGCTGGATACGGATAACGACCTGATCAGTGCCCTTGTAGATATACTTATGTATATATTTGACTGACTTCACAGAGGCACAGACCTCCACGTTAACATGTGCGTTGTACTTACGCGAAAGGTATGGACTGTAAGGCACTACCCAGCGATTATCAACCACAACGTCCTGACCACGACACTTTACGACCCAAGTTGAACCAGGTCGACGCCGATATATAGGATAACCGTCTCCACCAACCAGAGTCTCATTAGCGTATTCCTTTGGGAATCGCTTCTGACAGGTTGCTTGGAGAGAACGCTCTGTAGTCTGCATACAGGGCATGCCGGGATTTAAGGTTCCACATGGCCCATGAACCATAGTAGTTTTGACAATGTTACTTAGGACTCCATCTGGATCTTGAGCCTCCGTAGGGAGCTCGGCCCATATAACCTGATTGATAAAGTTTGGATCAAGGAACCGATCGCGGTGATCGTGACGTAGGAAGAGTAGAATGTGAGCATGAGGCAAACCCCGCTTCTGGTACTCAATAGTATACACGATACCAGTATACCGGCCAAATACATGGTTAGTCCGGAGGTCTGCAAGGAGGGAGTCGAGACGCAGCTTGAAAACGCGCGCGACCAGATCTGGCCGATCTGATGGCTGAAAGGACGTACTAATCTCCCGCTCTAACTCCGGCCATTTGGGATTGGCGGTAAAAGTGATGAACAAAGCAGGTCGACCAAGCTTTCGAACAATGGCCATAGAGTCCTGATAACACTGCGTAATAAAGCGACTGCTGCCAATGTGACTCGAAGGAAGAACAGTCCGAATCCCAACCGAATCAGCCTGAAAGTTGTCCTGATCTAATGCATCACGCACTCCTTGATATAGATCGGCACGTAACTGTCCCTGATTTGCTGCGATCCACCGTAACTTCCTCTGTTCGCACTGAGCCCAGCAGTCGACAACAAATTGCTGGAATAACGGACCGTAATCGAAAGGCACAATAAGACTGCCACGCCGGGGAAATAGGTGGAATCGGTAATACTTGGAATCGGTCAGAGTATCCCGGGTGCGAGACATGCGTGAAGTACGCAGCTGTAAACCATAGTGAAACCCAAGGGTACCCCATGGGAACATCAAAACGTAGTGGAGAGGCTGATATGCTGCATGTGTATGTTTGATCCTTTGGTATAGAGACCGACGGTGTCTTGGATCAGGGCCAGGTCGGTAGTGAAGAATAAGATCTCGGTTATAATCCTCAACTGGCTCGTCACGGACCAGAGCAGCAATCTCCTCAGCAACAGGCAGGTTCTCTCGACGTCGATCGGCCCCGGCCTGCACAATCAACTGCAGTTGTGGATTAAGAGTAATCTGCAATTCCTCGTCTTGCTCGTGAGCTTGCTGCAACCGCTCATGTGCAGTTTTGTACATCTTAATCCAAGGATTGTTGCAATCTGTCTCGACCATCTGTAGCAGCTGCGTGAGTATGGTCAGATCGAGACCACCATTGGCCCGATGCCCCATACGCGCACTGTTGGCCTGGGCAGGATCGTAAAAGTACAGCTGTGCGTAGGAGGGGACGTCCCCCTCAGCAGGCTCCAATGGGCCGTGCATATGGTACATCTCCCCCATAATCTGAAAAACCTTTACGCCTATGCCACGCGCACCCC